TGTGGCTGCCCCTCATGCATTATTGGCTTCCTACCAGAGAGAGTTTGATCAGTTTTGTATAAATGCAGAGACCAAAAGGATGCTGTGAAACAAGACAGGCTTTTTACTAAGGTTGCATTGATAAATAGTTAATAAAACATTAATAAATCATTAATAGAGTCTTTAATAAATGGTAAATCACTTGGCTGTCTTTATTCCTATCTTTATTCAATCAAGGCAGTAGGTTGCTTAGCACCAGCTGTAACATCAAGTTTGTAATAACCTTAGAACATCTCTTCTTCACGTATTATTTTTTTTCTGAATGCAACTTTAACATGCTGGGTGTCCAAGAATTGGAGGAAGTTCAAAGCAACAGATTTAGGTAAGATTTAAAAGTACTGAGAGGGTCATTTCACAGACAGAATATCACAGATAAGTCTGTTTAGCAGCAGTGGCCTCAGACTCAATTTATTGCTAGAGATGTGTGTGGGGCTGCTTCTCCTGCTCCAGTGGCTGCCCTCTAATGATGTGGACAAGTGTTGGTCCTGAGACTGCCTTTGTGGCCACAGAAGAAAAAAAATGGGATTGTTGCTTTGTTTTTCTGCCTTTTTATGGAGGTATCCACAAGAGAAGCAGTAAGGGTAGGGCTTGGCCAAACCAGTTGTGATCTATCAAAACTACAGAACAAGAAAAAGAGCTCGGAAAGGTCTCAGAAATCTCATCATCTCCTACAGACGCCTGTCCCAGTGTAGGAATCAATTCTGCCTAAGCCATGCCTGACTGATGTGTGCTTATCTGTTCTTGGGCATGTTCTTCCACAGATGGAGTCTGTGGAGCCCTCTGAGCAATCTGTTTCAGTGCTGCAGGATCCTTACCATTAAAGAGCTTTCTCTTACCTCTAACTGGAATTTTTCTGGCTGCAGTTGAAGTTCATATCCTCCATAAAGCTGGAGAACAGATTATTCTCTCCTTTAGGAACAGCTCTTTCTGTAATTAAAGGCTCTTCTCATGTCTCCCCTCATTTCTCCCCAGGGAAGTAGCATGAGCCCTGTATCTTGGGAGACTTCAAATTAGATCAGGCTAAGCAGTTCAGAGCGCACAAGGAAGGGAAGCTGCCTCAGTAGGAACGCAGAGTACACAATCCTGCTTCTTTTTTTCCATAATGGCCTCTCAGAGCCTGGCTCAGTGCTTTTATCTGTACTTAAAAACACGGTACGCTTTCTTTTGAACAAGAAGGAAATGATGGAAAAATGAAATACAGAGACAGGAAATAAATCTTGAAGGTGGCTATTAATTTTAGGGACTGGTTTTGTAAAGCTATTTACCATCTGCCCCATATCCCCTATACTCATTTCTCTCTCTCTGACCTCTTCCTTAAAAACTTGCAAGTTTAAATCCTTCCCCAGTTCTCTCCTTCCATTTAAATCATTATTTGGCCTTGTACCTTTGCATCCCTTGGGAGGTTTGCTTGGGGTATTTGTGTTTTGGGTGATTCATTAGATCGTCTGCATGTGTCCTTCTTAGTTACTTACCTGAGGGCTTTTATAGCCAAAAAAAAACAGACTTAGCTGAAGAGACGAGCATGTCTAGCTCTAATAAATAAAACACATGGAGTCAATTAAAACAATGTTTAAATAATTTTCAGAAAGGAGGATGCTTGATGTTACTACATCAGAGGACCACAGTGACTTTTAAGCCAAGAAACAGTGCAAGGTTTACTTTCTCATTTAATCTCCAGGTCTATAAAAAAATGTATGCTTCTATAGCAGTCATCTACCCACTCCAACAGTTAACATGATTTTGGAATTATTTTAAGTCCAAACCATGTGAAAATAAATCCTAACTCAATTTTGTGGGATTACTTTGTTTCCATTAAATTCCTCTTTAAAGTGTTTCATATGCTTGCTTTTATTATTTTTACTTCCAGGAATTTCTAAAGACTTCCAAGTTTGGATTGATTAAAGTGTTTTAACTTTTCCTGGAAAAAAACATGAATTTAATTCCCTGTCTATTTTCTCAGGTATTTACAAACTAAGGTGGTTACAGACACATCTTAATGGACACATAAGCAACACACACCGTCTGTGTGGCTCTTTATGGTCTTAACATATTAGAAGGTGAATATATCAGATTTCACAAGCTAAACAAAATAGACCTTAGCAAGTACTTAAAGGTGAGGGACCTCCAGAAGAAATTGGAGCACAAGAAAGAATGGTGAAGTCGTGTGGATGATTGAACAAATGACATCTTTTCTGCTGATGCTCCAGGGTAACCTATGTGTGCTTAAGGAACGGAGCGGGAGCGAGCTAAGCACTCACATCCCGCAGGGCGTGGGGTTGGGATTTTGACCCTTCACTGACAACAGGGCGGTGCCATTTTTGCAGGTCCCTCTGTAGCTCAGCTCTGTGGGACTGGAACATGCAGCTTTGTGGTGGTCAGTGTGGGGTTGCTGCCCAGACATTTTGAAGGGGCATTTTTCAGATGAGTGAACGCAAAACTTTCTTTACCACCGCTCGAGGCTCTTTGGTTGACAGTGCTCTGGCACCTGTCTGTAGGTAGATGTAGGTATGTTTTTTTAGCTAATTATATACTTTCTCACTCCTTCCACACACAGTGTTGGTTTATATGTTTATATGGTTTATATGAGCTTTAAATATTTGTGTTACGCATGTGTGATCCTCTCTGGAATTTTCTGCCCAATAATTTTCATTGCAGTGAGAATTGAAGTGCTTCCATGTAGCTAGGTTCTACCTTTGTAAGAGATTTTGGTGCTCATGAAGTGACTGTAAATACAGAGATTGGATAGTCCTAACATCAGTGGAGGCAGAATGTCTTACCTTGTAATTGAATTTCTCAAATAATAGCAGGCTCCTTTTCCCAGTGTTTTATATTCACGTGTCCCCTAATAGGGAGTTTACACTAATAGGTTTGCTTACACTTCAGCCTGCCAAGTAGGTAGGCAGTGGATACTACATGTGTTTTGACAGGCAGTATTCTGAAATGTTGGCTGGCATCACCTCCCCATGAATCTCAGGCTCTCTGTGCATTTTCTGTGTGGGCAGTAAGAGGCTGAGGTCAAGCCTATAATTGTAGTTCTAGAATATTCTTCATTTCTGCTTCACTCAGAATGCCTGGCCCTCTTTTAATTATGTGATACATTCTCTGTTTCATCATTTTGCTATAAAGAGATTTACCACAAAGCAACCTCCATGGCATAGGCTTTGGCCAAGGCATTCAGGATTGGATTATGTTATCTCACAGAAAAGTTCATGGGATGCTGAAATCTTTTTCTGCCTTCCCCTGTGCAGAGGCCAGACAATCAGTACCATTTAATTGTGCTCTTCCTGTCCTGGCACTGAGCTGCCACAGCCTCACACACCAGGAGGGATGAGCCATTCAGCAATTGCTCCTTTCCTCCTCATTGCCACCGTTTGGGCATTGTCTAGTGAAAATAGGCCCTGGGCTCCACAGCATAAGCCCAGAAGTTCTTTCAGGAGTGCAGCCTGGCCCATCTGCCCAAGGAAGTCTATGTGTCTGCCTGTCCCACTGACTGAGGACCACGGTGCAGAGTTTTCCTTTCTCCTAACCTCCTGTAAGACACATAATTTGGGAGGGACAGCTGTAGTTCTGAAACTTGCTGGCTCTCTCTTCAGTGAACTACAGTTGGTATCAGCTGTAACCACCCAGGGTACGTGCTTAGCCAAAATGCACCCACCACACTGCCCTTTTTACACCACCTGTACTTTCTTAATCAGTAGCTTTACGTTATGTTTTTATTTGTGGTTCATTTGAGTGGTTGTCATGTTACCTACAGAAACTGGCCTGTTTATAAGCTTTGTTTTGGCTAGCCCTGGGTTTGACCAGTGTGCAGCTGGGGAATGTAGTTTACTGCAGCCAGGCCATTGCACATAGGATTTCTGAGATCGGGTGCTCTTCTGCTCTTTGCCTCCTTGTCTCAAGAAAGAATTCTTTCTGAGCTTTTTAGGCAAATAAAAACAATGAAGACAAAGATGTAACAGAATGCCAGAGACAACTATCACTGCCTCTCTGGTTATTTATTAAATTAAAAACAAAGTTAAGCAAGAAAGAAGCAGTGTCTCCCATAAAACACACTCATTAGAAGGGCATTTACAAGCTCTGCCTAAGCCAGCACTTGTGCAGTTCCTTGGTTTTAGTGATTTTCCCCCTGCTCCAATGAGCACAAACCCCAGTGTTCTCCTGTCAGGCTTGCTGGGGCAGCAGCTCCCTGCACTGGGGAGGAGCAGGTGTGTGCTGCTCTTCTGCCAGTGCTTGGTAACCATGGGCACCCAGGTTGTGCCTTTAAAGATAATTGGGACATAAGTGCACAAATGATGAATAAACACACTGGTGTAGAAAATGGATGGTTTTTGCTTAGATGGTCTGGTAGGCAGGTTTCACTGGATTCACCTGATTTCTCAGTCCCTCATTTTAGAGTGGAATCAACAGTGCTCTGAGGCTGTGACATTGCTTACCACAGTAAGAGCCTATGGCCAGTGCCACAAGAAGATGCTGTGGTGCTGTCCTCGCTCTCTGCTACAACAGGCATTCACGCTGCAAGCCCATTCCAGATTTTTCTAGAGTGCCTCTTGTTTCTTTTGCCACTCTGCAGTCTTGAATTAGACTGTATCTTGCCACCAAGCACTCCCCTGCAGGGTTGCACCCAGTGCTGTACAGGAGAGCCCCCTTCCTGCCTGGGCTTGGCAGGTAAAACTCTGCTCTATTCATACAGCCTGGCAGGCTGGCCACAGAGCTGGAGCCAGTTGCCCTCTGATGAAGACATGGATGGTCACAATTTTTAAGAGTAAAACCTGTCCTCACTCTCATTCTGAGAAATCCTGCCTGTGGGGTTTTTAGGTGCTCATCTGTGACCTAAGGGTGTTAGGTGGTGGGGTCGATTCCTTGAGCAATTGCATCTCAAAGGAGCAGATGGGACCATTTTTAGCTCTCTTTCTTCTCTATGCACATGAATTTGTTTTCTAAACTTTTTATTTCTTCCCTAGGAGATGACCCATTCCTGGCCTCCTCCTCTCACTGCTATTCACACTCCGGGCAAGGCTGAGCAGACCAAGTTTTCTATCCCAAGCAAGGTACGAGTGGGCTATTACCAGTGACCTGATTAGCATTTTGTTCTGTTGAGTGCTCTTTGCTGGAGAGTTTATTTTTATAATTGGTCCCACTTTAAAAAATTTCTGATACTATTTTTGGTTGTAAATTCCCAATCAGACTGTTGCTACTAGTAGAACTGCTTATTTAAAGCTGCAGAAGACCCAGTGGAAGCAAAGTGAGCTTTTTATCTCTGTTGTTATGGGAGTTTTTCTACATCAAGTAAAATGTATTTTGTTTGGTTTTCCTCCATTATTATTTGTGCAATGAAAAGGTTTGAAATGGACATTTTTTTCCCACTTACTAGTTGATTGCATAGTGAGGTTTTGGCTGCATAGTCAAGTTATGGTGACTGAAAAGGTCCCTGCATGTGAAGGGCATGATGGCATCTGTCTATGTCACACCCTAGAGGGAGGCACAGAGTCCAGGCACACCTGCCTAGAGAGTGCCTCTTGTTCTTGTAATCCACATTCAATTGTTAAATTGTATGATCTGAAGATGCCCTTAGCCCACGTTGCATTATTGCCTTCTGGCTGTGATTCCAGTAGCACTGCTACAGACCAGGCTCGTACCTGGGACAGGCTCTGCCAGAGGTATCTTGTGCTGGGACTTGAAACCTGACCTGATGATGTTTGGGGAAGAAGAGAACTTCCCCAAGGTGGGAAATTTATACCATTCTGTCCTGGAGCTACATAAAAGTTTTTTTCCAATGGCAGGATTTTGAAAAATAGCTTATTAAACTAGTACTGCTTAACATTTTAGTTCAAGCAATTATATCCTGATTTAAAAGCTGGGATATGATTTTGCTCTTACTGATTTCCCCTGTCTGAAATCTAGCTGCCATACCTAGTCAGAAATAACTTAAATTAGCAATATCTGTGGCTTCTTAAACAAAACCAAAGCCAGTGCCCAGAATGTCTTGTTTTAATGGAATGTGATTGTTACTGCCCTAGCAGTGCCACTGTCACTGCAGTTTCCTGCTGCAATGTGAAGCATCTGAAGTCGTTGAATCAGAGAATGGCCTGAGTTGCAAGGGACCTTAAAGATTATCTGGTTTCATCTAGTTCCCTGCCTTGGGAGGGAGACCAGGTTGCTCAGAGCCACATCCAGCCTGGCCATGAACACTTCCAGTTTTTCTGGACAAGCTGTTCCAGGGCCTCACCACCCTCACAGTTATTTTCCCTAATATCTAATTTAAACCTACTCTTAGTCTGAGGCCATTTCTCCTTGTGCTGTCACTACATGTGCTTATAGAAAGCCCCTCTCCATCATTCCTGTAGGCTCATGCTCATTATGCTCTTACAAGACCATAATCCTCATTGCAAATTGGGTAAAAGTCAGTGTAACCCTTTAAGATGAACTGTGTGAGTACAGGTTTTTACCTGCTGGAAGCTGGGTTTTTGGGTTTTTTAATTTTTTTTTAAATTTATATCATCTCCTAATTTAGTGCTCTGTTTCTAATGAGCCCTACAGAAACTGGTTTGAGTCCTGCAGACTGGCACTATCTCCATTGGTAGCAGTATGAGCATGAGTTCAGAGAAGCTAAAATATTGGGTTTGCTTTTCTGTTTCTGTCAATTTGGCTTTGAACTTTTAAGATCCACATCAAAGTTAATTTCTGAGCACATTAAATGTTGATGCTAAAATTCTTGACCATATCACTTCAATACAAAATATAAATTAGATTTTTTTTGACCTAACATTGCAGGAAATAGGCAAGCACATAAAATGTTTTAATGTTTGCTAGTCTTACTTTAAAAAATACAACAGTGTCTCTTTAGAAGATCACTTTAAATCAATTATGGCTGGCCAAATTATGCATCTAGGACATAATATGGCTAGGTTGTGCAGCCATATAAACCAGAGACAGGCACTGTTAGAAGTTTTCAATTTAGCTGTTAAAATAAATGTATTCTCATGAGAAACATACATTTAAAAAGTGTGATCAAAGAGGTGGAGCTTATCAAAACAATTTATCCCTTTGACATTCAAATTTAAAGTGCCATGTGTACTCTTAGGGCATTATTTACTTCACAAGGGACTGACTGACAGCACAATATAATATTAGGAACTAATAATGCCCTAAGAGGAAGTGCAGTGAGGGCTTTAATGACTTTAACATCCTACAGAACTAACACTTCCAGCAAAGTAGTGCCTGGCTCTAGGATGAGGTTGTAAATAACACCTTAATTTCAACTGATCAAACTCAGCTTGGAAGGAAAGCTGATGACAATCACTGTGGACTAGAGAGCCCAGAGAAAAACTAAGCCAGAAAGCACTGTGATATTAAAGAAACAGCTTAGTTATTGTGAACCAACAAGAATCCTGGCATTAGCATGCTCAGTGTTGCAAGCCAGACTCTTTGCTGTTTTTAAGTTGTTGTACTTCCATTGATTTCATTGGATTTGGACCAGTTTCCATCAAGTGAAGATCTACTTCCCGTCTCTTCATCACATCCCGTGTGTCACAGTCCAAATAAAAACAGTGACTACCAATAAAAGATTACTGTATTTCCAGGCAGTGAGATCAAACAAAAGAAAGGCAATGGCACTGAATTTAATGCATAGCTGCATTTGTGCTGTGTTCTAAATTGTACATCCTGCATGGCTCCCTCACACATCCACGGCCAAGCCTGGGGAAGGCTTGGGCTGCTGCGGGTGTAAATCTGTGTGGTGTCTCCATAAAGGGCGGTGTAGATTTACAGCAGCTGGGGACATACTCTTGCCTGAGCTCTGAAGAGTCCCTCAGTGGTGCTCTGTCTCCACAGTTAATGCTTTTTTTAAACTAATGTCACTGGTGCTGCCTTAACAATGCTGTGATCCCTTCCCTGTGCCATCTCCTTCCCCGCTGGTATAATGCCAGTGCTCTTAATCTAGCAAGCCAAGATATATCTTACCTTCTTCATCTTATTTAACTAATGCTGACATTTTGTGTGTTCTTCTTTGTAGGATTCCCAACATCTGACCTCAGGATACAATGTACAAAGTAGGTCTTTATCATCCTAGTCCTAACAGTCAGGGTTGGGGTTTTTTTTTTGTCTGCTTAACATCATTAAAACAAAGGCTAAAAAATTAATTTCTGTGGTGCTAAAGCAGATCAGTTCCATTTTTTATTACATGTTATGCATTGTGGCATGTTGTGAAACCAAGTATAATTAGATGGGCTGACAGCTTTGGGTGCATTTTAATTCTACAGTAATCTTTTGACATTTGAAAATGTGTTTCCTTTGTTTGCAGAGTGGAGTGATCCAGCAGGGAAAGTTGCAACTAAGTCAGTGCCACAAAAGTCGTAAGTATTATTATTTCCAGCTTTAAATCTCATTTTAAATTTATCATAAAGCGTGAGCTTATTTCTCCAAAGGTAACTAAAACCTAGCTCTGCTCATAATCTTGTCCTGGTGTTCAGGTGTTCTCTGTAGTCCTTAAAAATTAGCCATAAACCAGTTTTATGTTTCCAGTGCTTATTACTGTTTCTTCTTTTTAAGCATTAGCTAACAGAGGTATGTGTGAAAGATGAGTTTATTAAGCAGAAATAATGCTGATTTTAGTTCTACAGCTTGCCAAAATTAAATCACTTTTATGCTTCTCTCATCAGATACTAAGCCTCTTACAATAGAAAATGCAACCCAATGAACAGATGATGCAGGAATTTTTACATTCATACAGTGAGAGAGAGTAAAACACATCACACAGAATAATTCTGCTAGCTGGTGTTGAATAGCTGGTCTTGAGTTTCGTACACTTTGAAACAGCTGAAAATCACAGATGATCTATAAATATGACAGTTGAAAATTGTGAAAGAGCTCATTCCCCATTGTGTTAAACCATTTTTCTTTGGTGCTTCTCTGATGTAAGGCTGCAGTAGTGGAGCAGTGAGTGGAGACCGAATTGGTTTTTATTTTCATCCCAGGTTCTCTAATTTGCAAACAGGAGCTAAATAACAACTTGAATAGTAGGCTATTGTTTTATACTTATGAAATTGTATGGGTCTGATTTCAGTTCAGAGCTGCTGGGTTTTTTAGTGTTAAGTGTTCTAAAGTACTGAATGTAGAACTGCACTAGCTTAACTGACAGTTGTGTAAATACAATATGTTCATTTAAAATTACTTCAAAATTATTTTAGTGGTTGCCCTTCATCTACTAAAGAGACAATTTTAAAAATCCCTATCAGGGAAGAAAAATCAATGTGGAGATACCTAGGCAAGTTTTAAAAATGAATTTAAATATACTGATTCTTAGTGCATGTTTGTCTACGCAAAAGGGCTTTTGGAGTTCAGTAATGTGTCTGTGACTGTGTGAGAGGTACAGCACCAGTGCAGATGTGGGTGCTGAATCCTTTGATGTTCTCAGCAGGCTCTGAAGGTCCAGCTCTTTACTCATAAACTCAAGTCATGGAAGTGCTCATTCAAATACAGTTGGTTGAGTAAACCTTTACAAAACTGTGGCTGAGCGAATGATCAAATTTTAAAATTAAATAGGTTTTTCCAATTAAATGAGAATTGGATAGGAATGCTAATGATATTTAGATTAATTTGCATTAATAGCATTTATTTATTTATTTGTTTATTAAACTTAGTAACAAATTAAACTTTGCCCTTTGCTGTTTGGCTTCCATTAATGACTTGGTTTTTTGTGAAGACTCTATCCAACTGTACCCACAGTTCTTGGTTACAGGATGGGTGCATTCATGTTTCAGAACATTGATGTGATCTAAATCTAACATCAAGCAAATTCCATAATAAAAAAAAAAAACCAAAAAAATATTATGGCATCTTAATTTTTTTCTCTAAAAGCAAATGTATTTGGATTCCACTGTGAAAAATATTTTAGTGAGTGTACCATAAAATACAATATTTCAATAGTTTGTAACCAACAGTAATAGACTTGTCAATCATGGTTTATAGTTATAAGCCGAATTTCAAAAGAACAGTGCTTCAGAGCTCAGTGGTATATAGTGCATTTAATGGGACCAAAGCTCTCTATAGGAAGCCTGATATAAAACCCGAAGACACTGAGTACATTTTATGAACCAGTTGTTCTCTGTTCTGCTGCTTGATCTAAAGTTCCAGTACTATCAATCAGATTTCTGCTGCAATGAACTGCCTTCTTACGGTAGGTGATAGATTTTACACATGAGAGATCAGAGCTGCAATAAACCTACTTTTATTTTTAGCTTCCAAATGAAGATCAGCTAACCCATTACTATCACTTTTTCTCTTTTACTGCAGAAAAATTGTTAAGGCAGCTTCTAAGAATTTCCACAGGGCTTTGGGAGGTTAGAAGGCAGTCCACTGTGAGGCTTGGTATTACGAGGCCAATGTGCTTCTTTAGATCTGTGTGTGCAGTTACCACCACCTTCATGGGGAATTGCAGTACTTGAGCACATAATGAAATTAAAGCAGGAGTGGGACAGAAAGACGTAATGGTATCAAGCAGGGCTGGATAGTGCAGTCCAAACAAACCCTGAGAGGTAGGCAGCTCCTGCAGTCATTGTGTATTTTAATGATAGGGTGTTTATCAGATTGCAGTTGTATAAAGGAGGATTTAGTCTCTCTAACACTGGTGGGTTTTGGGGATATTGCAATGTATGAGTGAAATGACAGTCCAGCTTATCCCCAGTAACATCTGTTGCTATGCTCTCAGCCACACAGTATGGTCTTACTGACTTCAGAACTCTATCCCCGACCAATTACATATTTTGTCAATAGGATCTGTCATCCATATTTCAGTTTGATCAAATCTGGCTGAATTTGACTCTGTTCATCTGTATGCTTTGTTAGATTCTGTTTAACCTGGATATGTTTCTAGCTGTTACCCAACTTTTCAAAGTTCATGTGCAATTTAAGTGAAACTTAAATTATCTTTTCCATTTACGTTGGTCCTAGTGACAGTCCTGTAGATTCCATTGGCTTTGTTAGAGACCCAGAGCTGGTAATAATGTGCTTGCATTCACCACATTGCTGAGTTATACCATGACTACCTGAGGGGTGAATGCAGAACAGAGATGCTTTACCTTCATGATGCTGCATCCTGCTCCAGCAGCCAAGCTGTCTGTCGGTCATTGCAGGGTTCAGGTGCAGGGATATTGGCATCATAGAAGATCAGGCCAAAGGCATGTAAGATTTTTGCAGGATAATCTCTCAGGTGCACACTTCTGAGGGAAAAATGAGTGCAAGGTGGATTAATTTACAAATGTGTTACTGTTATAGAGGGATGCAAGATGCATGGCTTCTTGTCCAGGTAGAGCTGTCTGAAATGCAAATGTCATCCTTTTTATAATGTTTCAGTATACTTTGTTACATCCACATGCTGAATAAACCCAGACCCCAGCGCAGTGGGTAAATAGAAGCTAGAATAGTTAGGATTTTTTCTAAATTCTGCACCTATGCGCATGAGAACATGGACTTATAACTAACCTCAGCTCTTAAGTTGCACTCAAAAATCTTGAAAATGAAATTTTGAACACTGATGTGCATGCATGTGTGTGTAATGTGGTGAATTTTTACAGCTGAAATCAGGCTATGTAAAACTGCAGCACTTGGTTTCCCTTTTTGTAATTTCAAATTCACTGTAAATCTCCGCTGGGCATTGTGCGGTCAGTTTTCAGCCAGTCTGCTCTGATTAGTTTATTATGAAGCAGAGTAAGCAGGAGCAGATAAGGTGCAACCAATTGCACTGCAAAGGATTTTCTGTCAGCTTCCATGAATTTGAGGGGACGGACTCAGCTCATGACTTGGGTTTCTGTTACATAATTGCCATTGCAAGTATGTCATCCTCAAACATCCAGTCCTTTTGTTTGTTAGCATTTGGCCTTTGTCCAGTTGGAAACTACCCAGAACCTTTTTAATCAAGCACATCCTGTGTTTTGAAATCATACTGCAGAGTGGTCTTGGGTAGTTTCCATAAAAGCCTAGCTAAAAAGAAGAATGTAATCATAATGGTATTCTTCCCCTGTCATAAAATTACTTCCTATGCTTACTGTATTAATACAGTATTAAAAGGCCCTTCTCATGGGCTCTGTGAACTACCGGAAACCATTAAAAACTTAGAGCAGCAAATTTTTATAGATCAGACAAAACCAACTTGTTTTATCTTTATGGAGTTTTTGTTATCAATCATAGTTAATGATACACAACCTGTGTGTGGAGTAGAGAGCAGCTAAATACAGGGAGCTTAAAACTAAAGCAAGCAGCTGAAAATCTTTTTGTGATATTTCAGCAAGGATTTTCCTAAGTGTGTTCAGCATGGCTTTCAGCTGGGCCAGGATTTCACTGCACAGTTCCAAAAAAATTCAAATAAATACCAGTCCTTTCCTAATCCCAAATATTATCATAATACTTGATGGAAGCGTGTTTGAAAATGGAAATGTGCTTCTCAACATCTAAATACTTTTCATAAGTATCTAATGGCTTTTTGGAAGATCTCCTCTGTGTCAGGGACAGCCACCTGGGAACACAGAAAACAAAATTTGGCAGCATGTGCAAGCTATGAATTAAAGGTAATTCACAGTTTGAAATGAATCAGCATGAGGTCCTTATGGAGAGTAATCAGACATCAAGAGGATTTTACACCAAGTATTGGATATTGCGACAACAAGTAATGTTGTTATTCAGAACTATTCAGAACATTCAAATCAAGAAGCACTGATGAATTCTTTACCTGGAAAGAAATCAGTTAAAAAAAAAAACAACAACAACAACAGCAAAAAAAGGGATTCATTCCATGTTCATAATTTCCAAAAAATATACCAGGAACCAAAATGTAAAATTCATCTCCAACTGGCATAGGAAGCAGGTTTCTATTTATGTATCAACTCTCTATCAGTGTTGCAGTCACAATGCAGCCCAGGTGTAATACACAGGAGATGCTGAAATGTTCCTATTACTAATTACAGTTTTTAGCTGACTATAACAAAGCGTGAGAGCACCAGTTGAGCCCTCAGTGGTGACAGCCAGCTTTTTGTCACAGCCTACCTTCACATGGCCAGCCTGAATCACTGCACTAAGTGCTGCATGTTTGTTAGAGGTAGGAAGTTCCAAAGATATTCCCTCTGGGTAAACTGGGAAAGTCATGACTACAAGGGCCTTGCACTGCCATGTACAAATTATGATAAGTGAAACAACAGTGGCATGTAATTGGAACTCCGTTAATCTTTAGAGAGCTCCAGTGCACTATATTAAAAGGACAAATAGCAGATGAAAATAGAAGGGTCTCTTTTGGAAGTGTCACTCATCTTTCATCTTTACTGTTTTGTTTTGTAAGCTAGAAATTTTCTTTGAATCCTTTTGC